GTCAAAAAACATCCAACCAGATGATGTTATGCTGAACGAAATCAGTCAATCAGAGGAAGACATTTATATGATCTCACTCATAGGTGGAATTTAAGAATTCAAACAGAGGACCATAGGGGAAGAGAGGGAAAAATAAAACAAAATGAAATCAGAGAGGGAGACAAACCATAAGAGACTTTTTTTAAAGGTTTTATTTATTCATGAGAGACAGAGAGAGAGAGGCAGAGGCACAGGCAGAGGGAGAAGCAGACTCCCTGCGGGGAGCCTGACGCAGGATTTGATCCCAGGATCCCCGGACCACGCCCTGAGCCGAACGCAGATGCTCAACCGCTGAGCCACCCAGGTGTCCCAAGAGACTCTTAACCATAGCAAACAAACTGAGGGGTGCTGGAGGGGAGGGGTGGGGGTGGGTCGGGGGTAACTGAGGGATGGGCATTCAGGAGGGCACGTGATATAATGAGCAGTGGCTGTTATATAAGATTGATGAATCACTGATCTCTACCTCTGAAACCAATAATACTTTGTATATTAATTAATTGAATTTAAATTAAAAAATTGGTCCAGATCCAAACTCCTCTGCTTGTATATTTATCAAGGTCTAGAAGTTTAATATATGATCCCCTTGACAAATGTGCTCATTTTGGAGAACTTCAGAAAACACTAAAAAATATAAAGAACATGGAAAACAGTTATAACCCCAACTTCCAGTGATTTCTTTCTAGATTACTTTTATTTCTATCTTTAAAATGCATTAATTGATATACTGTTAAACAATGTATACTTGGCCAGAAAAATGTTTATTTCTAGAAAAGTATTTATGTGTTTATAGAAAATAGAGTTCTAAATGGGAAAAAAAAGCACTGAAAATACTAACAGTGGTTATCTTTGGAGGGGTGGGATTATAGATGCTTCTTCTTGTGTTCCTTTTTGGTGATCTGTATTATCTTTTTCTCCCACGACTATGTATTATTTTGTGTAATTTTTTATTTTACTTTATTGTTATTATTATTATTTTGCAAGAATCAACATCTTCAGCAGGCTCCATGCCCAGGGCAGAGTCCAACACAGGGCTCGATCTCACGACCCTGCGGTCATAACCTGAGCTGAAATCAAGAGTCATACGCTTAACCGACTGAGCCACTCAGGTGCCCCATTATAGTGTAATTTTAAAATGTGATTTTACATTTTAATACAACTTGGGAACCTCAAACTCAGGGTCTTCTCATTATTACATCTTTGGGCCATGGCGGAGAACGAGGTGGCTGGACCAGACTCTGAAGCCTGAATGCTGTAGTCTGAGAGGCTGTGTGTGGCCTTGGGTGTGGCGGTCAGGGGGTTGTCATGAGGCAGGACACCCTGTGGGGTGGGGGGTCAGGGAGACGGCAGGGCGGTTGTTTCTGCACAGCTGGCAATAACAAAAACTATTCTTGCAAACTCTTATTTGCAACTGTTTGTCCGGTGGTTCCATCAGATGCTGCAAATCCTGAGAAATGGAGAACAAAGCTGAGGTTCGGGGTGTGGGGTCCCTCCTGTGACTTCAGTGCTAGAGCTGCCTTAGGAATGCTTTGCTCCTCCTCCCACCATTTCACACAGGCTTTGCCCTCCTTTGCCCCGACTATTGCAGTGGCCTGGGAACAGGTCTGTGCACCTGCATGCAGCCCACATTTCACAACACCACAGCGATATCCCCTCCAACACGCACCTGTGTGAATGCTTTGCCGCACCTCAGCTTGGCTCCCCTGTGTCCGCAGAACCAAATCCCCTCCAGTTGGCCTCTGGCCCCTATGATCCGGGCCCACCTCTCTCCCCATCCTGTCGCTGTTATCCTTCCTTCCCCACTGCCACGCTCCTGTCCTTCGGGCCTGGGCACGTGCGGTGCCCTCTGCTTCGGGAGCCTAGCTGCCACATCTCTGCTGAATACCTGATCTTGCCATCTTGTCTCATCCAAACCATGTATCCCATGGGTCAGCTCACCTGTTTTCCTGCCAGCCCTATGCACTCCTCCAGAGCATGGCTCGGACTTATTTTTCTTTCTTTCTTTCTTTCTTTCTTTCTTTCTTTTCTTTTCTTTTCTTTCTTTTCTTTCTTTTCTTTCTTTCTTCTTCTAAAGATTGTATTTATTCATTAGAGAGAGAGCACGAGCTGGGGAGGTGCAGAGGGAGAGGGAAAAGCAGACTTCCCCTATGTGAGGAGCCTGATGGACGTGGGGCTTGATCCCGGGACTCTGGGATCGTGACCTGAGCCAAAGGCAGAAGCTTAACCGCCTGAGACACCCAGGAGCCCCTTATTTGTCTTTTCTTCTTGCTGTCTGGCAGCTGGTGGTACGGTGGGGCTTGGGTCTCTGTTTGGTGAATGGTGAACAAAGCCTGGCCAAGGCCTTGCTGACATCAGGCCGAAAGAGCAGAGTGGGGTGGTGTGGCCCAAACAGCTGCCACCCATTAGGACACCAACGAGGCCACAACCGTTTCCAGCAGTCGGCGTGGGCACAAAGGCCGGGTGGCTCCAGAAAGCTGGCTCTGGGGCTGTTCCACTCCCCTTCCCCTGAAGGCTTCCTCCTGGCTGGGCTCAGGGAAGGCTTTCTCTGCGGGTGAATATAAATATATAAAACAGCACGAGTTTAGCTGCAAAACTAAAAATAGGAAGCCTGGAATCCGGCCCCCCAGGCTCCTCTAGCCGCTGGACCACACAGGTATGGATGCGGATATTGGGGGGTGCGGCCCCTCCCCCTTGCAGCTCCCCGGCCCTCGTGGGGAGGAATGGGGGGCATTCTGGGTTTCCGCAAGGAACAGTTCATTCTTTCACTCTGGCTGCCCCCACCCCCATATGTTTGACAGCTCATTTCATTTACGACCCCCAAATGAACTGACCCACTGAGGTGCCATTCCCTGCTCACATGGCCAAGCGGGTGTCTGGTGCGGCTGAGAGCCGCCCCCAGACCATGCCAAGGGGACCTAGGTGCCTACGTTTATGGGGTCTGCATCCGGCCCTGCCCCCTCCCCAGAATACCCCCAGGTGGTCCCCAGGAGTCTTCTAAGAGCCTCACAATCTTCCCCTTGGGCACGTGTCACTATCTCAGGCCATGAAACCATGCCAGGATGTCCATCTCAGAATAAAGGCCAGAGCCATCCCCATGGCCTGAAGCCGTTGCAGGGCTGCTCTGAGGTGGGTGGTGCTCCGTCTGGGGGCCATGTCACCTCTCAGGAGGTGCCAAGCACAGCCCCGTGCCCAGGAGGCCACCTCTGGGAACCCCAAGGCCTGCACTGCCGCTCTCAGCCTATGGTCTGGCCAGCCACACACAGGCTGTGGGGCAGGCGTGGGGCTGGTGAGGCTGTGGGCACCGCCCAGCCCAGAGCAACCCCTGGAGCCTCCAAAACAGAATTCTGGAGGCCAAGGGGCTCCCAGACTCTGCGACAAAATGGCTCCTGTATCCTGGATGGGCTGCTTCATGTCCTCAGCTCCTGATGACTCTGGGGTTGCTGAACTGGGGAGGTCAACCTAGCCTTCAAGCCCCATACACGGCTGTCCCAAAGCAGGGCCTTCGGGGATCACGGGACCTGTGATTCCACTGTGCACACTCGCACACGGGGCTGGACACAGTGTGTGCTCAGGTACTACTTGAATAAAAAAGGAAGCTCGGAGAGGGACAGGGACCACCCACTGCCACACAGCTACAGGGGAAAGCAAAGCCTTCTTCCAACCAAGGCGTTCGAAGTTCCTCTGCACGACCACCTTGAGGGGCTCGCGCACGCGCCCCATCTGCTGCCACCTGCAGGCCTCCGTGGTTACGGCAGCGCTGTCCCCACGCCCGGAAGCTCCGAGACCCTGGATGGAGCCGGGGCCAAGTCAGGGACTGCTTCCCCCCTGGCCTGTCCCCTTGGCTGCGCTGGGCGCGCCCGTCTGTGCCTGCTGGGTGGAGGCTCTCGGCCGCAGCTCCTCTTCCATCGACTGTGGCACCGAAGCGTGGCCGGGGAGGGGCTCGAGCTGTGGTCCCCTCCCAATTTCCACCATTGCCTACAGTGTGACCCCGACGCATCTATGGAAGCAGAGTGTTGGCCTGGTGAGGACCAGCCCTGCTCACCCTGGCGGACGCCACCCAGGGCACACTCGGGGAGTTCTGCAGCTGTGTCTGGGGGCTCGCTGGGAGACAACCTGCCCGCCTGGGACCCTCGGGGTGCTGCCGGGCCGTGCGGGGCCTGGATCAAGGGTTTAGGCCGAGGAAATGGAAACTTCCTGTCGGTGTTGGGTTTCAGGCAGACCAGCCTAACGGAAAGGGGCAAAGTCTTGGGATTAGTTTTGAAGTATTTTCATTAGAGAATAAGGTTGTTCTGTGAAAATTCCCCTCCTCAAGTCCCACCTGGACAGGCAGGGAGGGGTGCGTGGGGCCAGGCCTCGTGGCTGGCAGTTCCCCACCAAGTCACACACACAGCTCCTGTCGCCAGCCACAAACAACTCCGGGGCGATGTGGGGCCAGATAACACCCCCACTTTGCACCTTCGCTGCCTCATCTGCAAACTGGGGGAGCTGATGTAGCTGCTAAACTACCCCTGTTCCAGCAAGCACAGGCCCCAGAGGGGCTCCGCCCGGGGGCCGGTCCGCCCCTACCCACCCCTACCCACCTCTGCCCCTGCCCCACTCCCAGCCTCGGCACCAGAGCTGGGTGGCGTACATCGCTCCTGTGTACGTGTAAAGAGTCACAGGCCGCTCGGGAGGGGTGGCGGCACCTCAGAGATCTGTCTGTTTGTCTGGGGTTTCGGCCACACCAGGAGGAGGCTCTGCGGGCTGCACTTGCCCAGAGTGGCCTCTGTGGTCACTACTGATGGAGCTGGATGCAGGGAGGCCAAAGGGCTGGAGTCTCTGAAGCAGTGGGTTTAGTCCTATTCCTGTCCCCAGGCCCTGCCCTGTTCCTCCTGGGCCATGGTGGGAGGTCCCCTCCGGCCCCCGCTCCCTTCCGCCCCCCACCCCTGCACACAGCCCTAGAAGTCTGGCATTGGGATCCTTCAACACATCTCAGTTATATTATTGTAACAAATCAGTCAAAATTCCATTTTACAGTTAAATATTACAGAAGACAGACAGTTTACTGTACAGCAAGTTGTGCATTGAAAACAAACACACCAAGCAAATTATAGTGCAAAGCAGTTTCCACCCCACCCCCTCCCTCTTGCCAGCTCTGGGCCGTTTTACTGAAAGATGTGTGCGTGGCAGGTATTAACACCTCGACGTGACAATATGTCACAGAGGATCCGAACCCGCCACCAACAGGCTTACAGTAAAATGGTTGTTTCCTTGTGCTTTCTAGATCAGTGTGGTCGCCTAGGACGACCTTAAAGCAGCCTTGTAAGTAAGGACCCACTTCCCAGCAGCCCAGGCCGTCTGTACCCACTGTGGGCCTTAACAGACGTGGCGTGGCTGTCATCACTTCTAGTTGGGGGTGGCGGTGGGGGGGCATTTCTCTCCTGACTCTGCCCCTACCAGGGCTCGGCTATCGGGCAGGGTGAACCGACTGGAGCTACAAAGTGCTGGGCCCTGGGAACCCCGGGGCACCTCCCACGCAGGCCTGGGGCCGGGCGGCGGCGGGCACAGAGGACAGGAGCGGAGAAGGGAGGACGGCAGTGGATCTGTAGCTGCTTCCTGAGAAGGGGTGGAGAGCCCCCCCGGCGCGGGGGCTCAGCAGGACACCCCAGCAGCTATCTTGACGAGATGGGAGACTGCTTTTTCCAGTGAGGACAGGACCAGAGAGACTGCAGCAGGAGGGGTTTGGGTAAGATCACCAGCAGGGCTTCCGAACTCGGGGTGGGGTTTGGGGGTGCATCATCTGGCCGCTGCTGCAGGCTGGGGGTGGCGCGGCAGGCCGGGAGCTAGCACAGAGGCGACGACGACGACGACCACGAAGATGAGGGAGGGCAGATTGTCACATCCACAGAGGATGTGGCTGAAACGATGACTGAAAACCACACGCCGTCTAGCCCTTACAGGTTTTCTGGTCCTTTTCCACTTATGCCTTTTTAGAACTAAATTCAGACACGAGAACCCATGTCGCCCGAACCCCTGGGCAAGTCCCGCTTTCCCATCTGCGGACCAAAGTGGGGGCCGCTCACCCGAGTACAGGGGTACAGCCGAGAGGAGGCTGGTGAGCCCTTCGCAGCTCTGTACCACCGCGCGGCCCTCTGCCTCTGCACTTCCTCCGGGGCGGCGGGCTGAGAGCCACAGATGTGAGTCCCGGCGTCGCCTGGGGTTCCCTGAGTCCCCACCAGCCCGCGCCTCCGGTGGGAGACGGTGGGGCGCCGGAGGGCCTGAGCACGCCACCTTCTCAGGAGGCAGAGGGGCTGCTGTTTGCTACTGCAGGGCTTCACCTCTAAGAGACTGTGTGTTTGAAAATGCTTCCCGCTCCTTATTCTAAAATCAGCTTTAAAACCTGGTTTTTGTTCAAGACTGCTTTCGGAGCACAGACTAGTTAAAGACAGAGCGGTCTGAGGCCCGAAGAGCCGCTGGGCCTGCCCGCAAGGCTGGGGGTGGGGGTGGGCACGGCTTGGCTGGACCCAGCTGGGACAGGGGTGCTGAAAGCTCCCCCCACGGCCTCTCACCCCAATGCCTTCTGCTAGGGCCTATCCGGTCCCTGGGGCTCTCTCCAAAAATGGCAATTCTGAGACCAGCCTAGGGGGCAGGGGATTCCCTGGCCCTCCACCCCGAGAACAGAGGGTGAACGCCTTGGGCTGGTAAAGTGCACGGAGGACCGGTCTGCGGGTGTCTTTCCTGGTTTTAGGGACCTGCTGCCATTGGCTAGTCTCCTCTGGGGCCTGGGACCCACAGACAGCTGGGACGGGGTGGGAGCTTTGAGCTGTTAGGAACTATAGGGAAGCAGAGCTGGGGCGGGGACTGGCGTGCGGGTGTTCTCATCCCATCTCTGGGGCCTCTGGATGGGTCCCGTCCCCATCTGTACAACGAGGGGAAACCCTCTCAGGGGTGGGGAGACCTTCCAGTTCTGACCCAATTTGTATAAATGCTGAGGGAGGGCTAGGCCCATGGGATACAGGGTCTCCAGGGAAGGTGAGGGGCTGGGGAGGTCTTGCCAGGGCCCCGGGGGGAGGAGGCCAAGCCACGTGGGCAAGTGCCACCTCTCTCTGGAACGGAGATGGTCTGTGCCCCAGGGGCCCTGGGCCCTGTGATGGCACCGGGCACGGCTGGGGACAGCCAGGTCATTCCAGGGGAGGCGGCAGGAGGATGCTTTCCCACAGGAACGTGGGATGAGATGACGAGGATCTGGGCTGGGGCAGTGTCCTGAGGGAGGTCCCTATCTGTACAACGACGTGGCTGGGCTAGACGCTCTCAGAGCCCCCCACCAGCTCCGGGCCCCAGGACTCGGGGTCCCTGGGCCCGTGATCGGCCTGGAGCTAAGTCCCACTGCTGCCTGGGCCTCAGAGCGGGGCCAGCCGCCTGCCGGGAAGGTCCGCGGGGTCCCCGCCTCCGTGGGGAGCCGTCCACCGTGCCCCGGGCGGTCAGTAGGGCCGCCACACGGCCTCGTCCATGCGGCCCGGCGTGCTCAGGGCAGTGGGCGAGTTGCTGTGGCTGCCGTCCGCCTCCACGCTGTCGCTCTGGCCGCCCAGGCTGGGGTTCATGAGGTTGCCGGCGGCTGCGGCGCTGCTGGTGCAGGAGGCCAGCATGCGCGTGGGGGAGCGCTCGCCTCCGCTGCTGCTGCCGGCCACCATGGAGAACTGGTAGGAGCCCGACGACGCGCCGTAGTACAGGTGGTAGGGGGACGGGTTGGCCTGGAAGGGGCCGCTCTGGTTCTGCGGGGCGCCCGGGTAGGGCGGCGGGAGGTAGGTGTGGTGGAAGCGGCTGGTGGCGGGCACGCTGGCCACGCTGAGGCCGCCCGACGGCGTGGCGCTGTAGGGGAAGGCGGCCGACATGGCCCCGGGGTAGTGCATCCTGGGGTCCGGGAAGCGGCTCTCCGTGAACGTCTGCAGCGCCGGGAAGGAGCGGTCAAACTGGCGGGGGTCGGAGAAGGGGTTCAGGTCCGAGGTGCCTGGGGGACGGCAAGGGGCACGGTCAGTCGCGGCCCGACACCGCCTCCGGGGGCTTCTCTAAGGACGACCTTGGCAGGGGCGCCCCCTCGGTGTGGGCTCAGGTCTGGGGTTGTGAGATCGCGCCCCGCGTGGGGCCCCGCGTTCAGCGGGGAGTCTGCTTGGGACCCTCTCAAATAAATAAATAAATAAATAGTGATTAAAAAGAACCGCCCAGGGCTCTGGTTCACAGGCCGTTTGCGGGAGTCCCTGCTTCTCTATCTGCCTCTGCTCTTGCTGCCCCGGGGCTGCTTGAGGCTGGAGCCTGCCGGGCTCAGAATCCGGCCCCACCTGGGAGGCAGGTGAGAGCAAGCGCCTGGGCCACAGGTGGCCATGGGACGTCCTTGGGCCGGTGGACAAGGGGGAGGACTTGTCTTTCTCCTCCTGGAGTCCTCTTCACAGCCTGGCAGTGCAGAGGCCTGTCCAGGGCACCAAGGTGGGCCCACCTGGGCTGCTGGGGGTACAAGGAGCAGCTTCTGCCTTCCCGCCTCCCCATTCATAGCGGGTAAGACCCTGGGGAGGAAGAGAGTCTCTGATGGTGCTCCGAGCTTCGGAGTCGGTGCTTGCTTTTACAGGTAAGGAAAATGAGGCCCAGCGAGAGAGATCCATTCTTCCTGATGTGGCACAGGAAGGGCTGGAGCTCTCACCAGGCCCCTGCCGTCTGCTCCCTGATGCTGGGTGTGCGCACCTCTCCTGCCCAGGTGGGGCTCAGGTAGCTCATATGAGCTCCTGCCGGTGCCGTGGGGACTGGTTCACAGCAGCCCCGTCTGTCCCCCAGCCTCCCATCCCTCACCCACGGCTGTCCTGTGGGCTGGAGCCCATTGGTGGCCAGACAGCCATGAGATGCCACCTTCACTTGTCTCAGCAGCAAAGTGAGATGGCAGCCGGAGGGGTTCAGTGGCCCAGACCCTGCCGTCACCCGGAGGGGCCCAGTGTCCAGCCCAGGCCCTGCCCCGGCTCCCTCATGTATGGCTCCTCACTGGACTCCGAGACAAGAGCATCTCAGCCTCTGCCCCCTACTCTTGTAGTCACAGACCCCCAAAACCTCAGCATTTAAAGGGGTTTCAGGATTGAGTCTAACCCCTTCAGTAGGAAAACTCAGGCCCAGAGAGGACTTGGCTAAGGGTCACACGGCACCCTGGACCTGGCACAAAATCCTAGGGTTCAGGTTCTGAGCCCTGACCTGTGCCTGATAGGTAGCTGTCCCATCTCTGAGGCAGCCCGGCGCAGCACTAATCCTAGGTCTGCACTTACTGGCTGTGTGTCCTTGGGCAAGTCACCTAACCTCTCTGTGCATCTGTCTTCCCACATGAAAAACAGATACAGTAACAGTTCCTAGGAATTAAATTAGTTAATACATGTGAGGTCCTTAGACGACAGACGGGAGGCTATTGAGGATTTGCAAGCTGCCCTGGCTCTGACACCTCTTGCTCTGAGCACCCAGGAGCACTGGCCCATTCAGGGCCCGGCAAAGATGAGTCCCTGATCCGGGCCCTCCTTGTACCCTGGCCAAGAGGCTGACTCTGGGCAGCAGTAGAGAGGTGGGCAAACCCCCAGCAGTGGTCCTGAGGGCAAGGCTGCTGGGCCCTAAGCCCTTTGTGCCACCCCACCGAACAGGACGCAGAGGGAGACCCGTCTGTCACATGGCCAGCTCTAGGCGGGCACGACCTCCTCGGACTGAGGCTGGGCTGAGGATGGGGGGCAGGTACCCTCAGGCCTCTTGTTTCCCCAGATGTGCCTGCGGTGCTGTGTGATCTCAGGGGAAACCTGTGACTTCTCAGGGCTTTGGGATCCTCCTGACTCCCCCAGGGTGGGGGTGGGGGGTTGCTTAGCAGTGGGCTCTGGTTCTGGTCCTGGCCGTGAATCAGAATGGAACAACGCTCCCAGGCTCAAGGTGGGTGGATGTGAGGACAAGGGGCTGGACGACTGGGGCCTTCTGGGACACGCAGCCTTCTCTCTAACAAGTCCCTTGGCTGGTCAGTGCTGCCCTGAAGCATAAGGGATCAGAGGTGCCCGGCTCCCCACCATCATCTCAGGACACCAGGGCAGAAGGCCTTGTTGGCAGTGCCTGGCACCCCGAGCAGAGCCAGGCATGAGGCTGACACCTCCACTCTGAGTGAAGCGAATTGAGCCCCATGCTCCAAACAAAGGAAACCCAAACTGGGCCCCCAGGATGTGACAGCAGGGCTGCAGCCCATGAAGCACAGGCCATGCATGGTGGGCCTGGGCCTGGGGTGTGTGGCCCTTGGAGTTCCCACGGGTTGTGGGCTCTGAGCTGGGCTAGCCGGGACAGCCACTGTCCTCTCCTGCCTCGCGGCCAGGGTGGGGGGGAAGCGTCTGCCTTGAGCACCCCTGTGGCAGCTGCCTGCCCCCCTCCGCCCCCCACCCCTAGCCCAGTAGCCCCAGGAAACCCGAGCTGGTCGGCTGAGGAGCAGCCAATCCCAACACTGGAAGGAAATGTTTATTTTCTTCTCGAAATTGCCTCAGCTGCTGCATGGTGGCTGAATGAGCCCTTTGAACGGTCAGAAGCCCCCACTGTGGGCAGCCACAGCTGAGGGGGCTGGGGGCTGGGGGCTGGAGGGGTCGGGGCCTCAGCACTGCTTACTAGTGACCAAAACTATGAAGGGGCATCAAGAGAAGTGACGGTGGGATGCCCCGAGGGGATCCCCAGGATAGAGCCTGAGAGCAGAGGCTCATCCTACCACGGTGGGAAGGCCAAGGAAGGGGGCCCAAACCCGGCCCTGCCCACACCCCCCTGCAGCAGGTACCTTCTTCCCACATTACAGATGAGAATACTGAGGTTCAGAGAGGTGGAGTAATCTGCCTGAGATCACAGCTGAAGGGGAAGGACTGGGTCAGCCACGCCCCATACAGATCCAACCTCCCCTCCTGGCTGCCCCAGAGTGGAGGGAGGGGCTCTGGCCCTTCAGGGCTGGACAGGGGGAGGCTTGCCTCAGGCTCCTGGGGGCACTGATTTCTAAGCCAAGTTCATGCAACTGTGCTTCCATGGGAGCTGTGGGGCAGGAAGCCACTGTTTACTTTCACCTTCTAGGTTTTGGGGCTCCCTGGCTGGGCCCCGATACCCACCGGGCCCCAGCTCTGCCCACGGCAGGGAAAGGCCTGGAGTGTTAGACTACTGTCCCTTGACAAGTGCTGGCCTGTGAGAGACTAAAGCATAGACAGCTTTTGGGCAGGAGTGGGCAGGACCCCCGGGAGCAGAGTACCTCCCACTGTCTCTGGGGGTCAGACCCTATGCTGCAGGCCCCGGGGCTCAAGAACCACCGAATGTCTCAAACTCACTAGCCCATGGGTCTCTCTCGACCCTGGGGGCTCAGCAAGGCCAAGAATGGAAGCTTCCCACACCAGAAAAGAAGGGACCCCCTCTTCATACTGAGGGGCCGTAACAAGTCCCCCCACCACTGGATCGTGCCTGGCACACACGGCAAGGGCTAAAGGCAAGGCCTCCCATAGCGGAGAGCCCCAGTGAGCCCCGAGCTCAGCCTGGAGTGTGAAGGGGAGAAGGGAGTCAGCTTGCACCCTCACCCTGGGCTCTTCCTGTTTGTGATGCCCTCATCTGCATTCTCAGAAGTGCAGGGACTAGGGGCTGGGGGGACATTGGACCTGGTCATCGATGGGCTCTGCGACCCAAGAGTGGCTCTTAATCTCTTAAGCCTCAATTCACTCATCTGCCAGATGGGTTGTAAGCAGGCCCTGCAGGACCGGGAAAGAGGGGCCACCCACCGTCCATGGCGGCAGCCGGCCCTGCTGCCTCTGTCCAGCACTCTGGACGAGAGCTCTGTGCCCCAGGGCCCGCCTCACCCCGGCTCCTGCGCCCCAACCCACCGGCTGAGAGGGCCCGGGGAACAGGGTAGATACTCCTCACCCGGCCATTCACGGGCCTGCCCTGTGCCAGGCGTGTCTCCGCAGCCCGGCCTCGCTGTGCCTGTCGTGTCCATCCAAGCAGGAGGGACAAGGACACCTAGAGGCCTCCCTTGTCTTTTCTGTTTGTAAGAAGTCTCTGGGCCAAGAGGGGACTTTTCCCAGGCGCCACTGTGTGTCTCCAGGGCCGTGACATCACTTTGCTGTTTACGAGGGTCACCTGGGGGCAGTTATGGCATCTGAATGTCTCCCCAGGGTTGGGCAGAGGCATCCACCCCTGCCCCTCTTTCGGAAACCACAGTTGAGGCTCAGGTGGGGGGCACAAGGTATCTCTGGCAGGGGGAGGTCTGTCACGCGCTCCTTAGACAAGTCACGCCCCAATTTTAACGGGTACACTATGGGATGAATGCCCACATCCCTCAGGAGACGGCGGGTTCCTGGACGCAGGGACTGTGTCATGCTGACCCCTGGGGCCAGGCACCTTGCGCGTGGCACATGGTGGGTGTCGGTGAGTGTTTGCTGAGTGAATGAATGGAGGAGCATCCCTAAGGACACATCCGTAGGAGCCAGTGGGCAGGAGCATCCTCCTTCACAAGGCGGCGCAGCGCCTGCTCCTCCAAGGGCGCCCTCATCTGGGGCCCCGTCCCGGTCCCCGCCCGCTCCCGCTGGGCCGTACCTTGGATGGGGGTCTGGGCCTGGCTGCTATAGTGGCTGGTGGTGCTGATGGAGCCGCGGGGGCTGGGCGTGCTCGGCGTCACCCGCATGCGCAGCCGTTCCAGCTCCCCGAAGCGGTCGGGGAACGCCTTGGTCTGGTCCTCCAGCTTCTGCCGGTGTCCTGCAGAGCATGGGGAGCCCGTCAGCAGCTGGTTCCCGAGAGTCTCAGGGGGACAGAAATGCCTCACTCTGCTGGGAGGTTCTCCCGGAGGTCCAGCCCGAGACCTCTCCAGGGCAATCCTCAGCTTACTCCCAACCTCCATCCTGAGTTCCCCAAAGACTTTCTGGACAGAGGATGGCCATGACGTGCTGCCTTGGGGCTGCCGTGATGGCCCGTCTCAGCCCTGCCTGCCTGAGTGGGAACAGACATCCTTCTACCTGAACTTCTACAACCCACTGTGCAGAAGGGGAAACTGAGGCAGTGGGCCTGTGAAGGTGGCTCATGGGGGCTCCCATGGTAGCGAGGGAGACAACCCAGGAGTGCTGCCACCCTCTGCCTCCAGGTGTCCCAGACGTCACACTCCCCACATCTACAAGAATAATAGGTGGTGCCGGAGTGGGACAAGTGGCTGCTCCAGCCCTGGGCCAGCCTGGGAACCCCCAGCACATGCTGCTTCTCTCCTGGCCTCAGACAGGGGAGGAAGATTCACCGAGACGTGCACAAGACGCATGGGGCACTTCAGGGAGGGGCTGAACTCGCACCTCTGACTGGAAGCTGGGGACAGAGGGCCAGTGCCCTGGCCTGGGGCGTCACCCCTGGAGAAACTGTTAGCATTTCCTATTACTTCCAAGCCATGGCCCACACAGGAGGGCCCCAGCTTTGTCTCCTGGTCCCCGAGGAGATGGGCAGGGGCGGGATGGTCATGCCCCTGCCTCTGTGCAGCTAGCTGAGGCTACCCTCACAGCTTCTGGAATGACATCAACTTGCGGGAACCACCCCCCACCTCCCACTTTTTCAATTATTCACTTTACATTTCACAAGCAACACACGAATCTCTATAAAAATAAAAGCATTACCGAACTATAGGTAAGGCCAATGGTTCCTCTGACCCGCTCTAAACCCCTCCCCAGAAGCCCCCACGTGGTCAGTTGGGTGGTCTCTCTTTCCAGCCTTTTTTGGTGTCACATGCATGGAAAACACAGAACCAGTTTCTCACGGAACTTCTTGAATGGTCTCAGGTTTATAATTCTCTAGCTCGCTTTTCCAGTAGCACATCCCAGAGTACCACCTCAGTCTCCTGATCTGTAAAATGGGGGGAGGAACCCAGCACCATAGAAACAATGAGCTCCCGCTACACCTGGGGAGCCCTCCCGGGTGGCACAGGCAGGGCTCAGCACTGGCCAGCAGCTGTCCCTCCTCCTGCCCTGGCACGGCCCCTGGAGGCCGCAGCTCACTCAGCCGGCCCTCTGGGACGGATGATTAGGTTGTTTTCACATTTCCTCCACTATTCACGGGCAGTACACCCAGGAGCAACGCTGTTCACACCTCATTGTGTCTGGGGATCTCTCCAGTGCAGACACCAGCCACGAGCCTAACACCCGAGGCTGGTGGCTGGTCCGTTCCACTCCACTGGACCCCACCCCAATCCCGATCCCGACAGAGGCAGGAGGCCAGACAGGCAGGGTGGCCGGGTTCTCTTTTTACAAAGAGAATTACAGCTCAGAGAGGTGAACAGGCTTGCCCTCAGTCACACAGCGAGGAAGAGCAGGATGTCCTCGGAGAAGAAGCAAGGGGAGCGGCTAAGGGCCTTGCCTGAGTCCTCGGATCTGCTGACCTGCCGAATTTTCTAGACTGGCAAGGAGAGAAGAGAGAAGTAGATGGGATGTAAAACAGAACCCCTCGCTGTTCTTCCTGAGGCCGCGACACGTGCTGGGGGCCTAGAAAAGTGTGAAATGACTAGTGAGGGTCCCTGGGAATGAGGAAACAGAGGTAGAGGCCTCAGAAAGGGTTGGATTTCTGATTTTCAAACTGGGGATGCAGTGGATCCTGGCACCCTAGATGCACCCAGGCTCCCTGCACACCCCTGCCTCAGATGGGCACCTGGAGGTTCTTAGAGATGAACAGGGAGTCCTGGGAGCCACAGTAGGCTCAGCAAGTCAGCAAGAAGCAGGGAACCCACTTTCTCCTCGGAGGAGGCCCCAGTCCTAGAGGCCAGGGGACACCGTCGGATACCGTCAGCTAAGATGAGACCACTCGGCTTCCAGCCAGGCCCCTGTGCTGCCTCCTAGGACCGTTGGTAAGGGGGCAAATGAAGGCTGGGGGTGACCTGAGCTGGAGCTGGGGCTACAGACTCTGACACCTGTGGGCACCAGGCAAGTCACGTCCATGCGGCACACGGGATGGGTGGGGAGTGGGGCAGAGTGGAGGGGGTGTGCTTTGCAGAAGGGCCAGTTGCCACGCAGTCCAGCTGGCCGGTGCCCTGATGAGGGTGGGCCCAGTGTTGCCAGAGCCTCCAGGTTACCAGGAGAACCCCACTTCTATGTGAACTCTTTATATGCCGGCCATTAATTCCAATACTGAAAACGAAAACAAAAACAAAAAGAAAACAAAACCCTCTAAAAACCCCAAACCAACCTGTAGGATGTGTCCTGCCTACCCGCTGCCAGTTGGCAACCTCAGAGTTCGAGATTTCATTTTCTGGTTGGTTGGGTAACCTTAGCCACTGAGGCCTGCTTAGCAGAGACCCTCAGGAGGTGGTCTCTAGGGGAGTGTCGCAGCGCAGCCCTCAAGGACCTGGGGAGAAACGCCTCGACGCAGCTGTTGCAGCCACCGAGGGTGGCAGGGTGACGTGTGGCCAAGCTGGACGACACATGAATTCAGGACGATCCCAACAGGGAGGAAGTCGGCCGCGTAGACGCGGGGCTGCAGCCTGACCTGACAGCAGCTGGGTGCAAAGATTCTGGGTGCCTCGGTCAACCACAAGTTTGAAGTGAGCCAATGGGGCCCACACAAAAACTGGTGCAGAACGTCAGGCCTTGTAATTATCGTCACCGCGGAACGAAGTCCTGTTTCTGAGTCACACTGTGTACGAGGTGTTTACGGTTACTCCTGCAGCCCAGCGGAAGGAGGGCAGAGTTCACAGCAGCCTGGGCTCAAGGATGGGCCTGCCACTTGTGCAGCCTGGTGGCCTCACTCGAGTCACACTCCCCTCCACCCCCCTGCCCCCGCCAAGCTGCAGCATCCCTGTCCTGGCCAAACAAGGTCTAGGAATGCGCTCCATCTACATGGGTCGCTGATATCTTGACTGTCACTTCTATACCGGCTCACACGGAGGGGGGCAGGATTAGCATCCTCACCCCGAAGCCGAAGCCACAATGGTTGAGTCTGAGACACAGAGCTGGGGTGGTGGTGGGGGGGGGGAGGGGGGGGAGCCTGCACTGGCAGGCAGACCCCTGAGGCCAAGTCCGGTGCGTGTTCTCTCTCCTGACACTTTCCGTTTTGCTCCCACTGTACAGGTGGGACTACTGAGGCTTCCAGAGGGGACCGACGCTGCGTGCTTGGCCTGGGACGGACACCAGGCGGTCAGGCCCGAGAGCACGTGCTCCACCATCTGCTGCTCTCTGCCTTCGCCAGGGCCACACTGGAGCAGGGCAGTTCTAACAGTACTTGGGGAGTCGCCTCCTTGCTGCCGCGGGACTCCGGAGCCGCTGCCAGGGAGGGGCGAGGGGAGGCTGAGGTGCCTCCGCGTGGCCCGGGCGCCAGAGAGTCTTGGAGCCACAGGGCCCGGCCGTCACATTTGGAGCAGAACGGAACTTCCTGTGCCTGAGGATAGATGGGCCTACAGAATAGACCTCTTTCATTTGGCCACCCACCGTGGGAGCTGGGTGGGGCGCGCTGGCCTCGCTTACTCGGTCACCTGGGGCCCGGCCCTGTCACGTTGTGCCTCAGTTTCCCCGCTGCGCCGCTTGCTCCCTGAGGCCCCTCTAGCTTTGAAAGTCTCTGGCATAAGATTACAAAGCTCAGCCTCTGGCCGTAGGAGGGCCTCCAGGAAGAAAGAAGGCAGGGCTGCTCACGCAGGGTTCACCCCCTACCACCCGCCTCCTCTTGATGCTGCTGTTCTCGGCCTTTCTCTAGCACTCTCCACCTCTCACACTTCAGAGCCCCAGCTCAGCTCCAGCGCAGCCCCTGCCAGGAGGCTTCCGGGTCCTTTCGGGCTCAGCCCAGAGCCCCTCCCCTTCAGGCGGACCCCGTCTCCGTGCCCAGCCCACCCGGCAGCACCCTGCAGGCTCAGAGCAGTAGGAGCACGAGCCGAGCCGAGCACAGAGTAAGAGCTGCAGCCAAAGCTTAGCTCGCTGAAAGCTTCCTCCACTCCAGCGTCTATGTCGTCACTGACATGCCCGCCTGGCTTCACCCCGCATCATCCCCACTGTCCCTATTTTACAGGTGAAGAAACGGAGGCTGGCTACGGGTCAATGACATGCTCGAGGTCACACAGACAGCTTGAGGCCACCTTCTCTTCCTGGAGGCCTTCCTGCAAGAAAGGGGCCTGGGTTTTGATCATCAGGGGGCCTCAGACAAGGGTGTTAGGGCCCGGCCCAGGCTCAGGGCCCAGACTGGCTCTCTGTGGGCCCAGGAGGGTGGGCCATGGGGAGGAGAGGGTCTCGGTGGACCCACCAGAAGCTCTGCCCTGCTCCGAAGCTAGAGCCTCACTTTGCTCTAACCTCCAAGTCCCTCTCCCGCTCTGGGCCTCAGCTGCTACTCCTGTAATGTGGTTTTTACACCGTCTAGCCCCCCGAGGTGAAGATGAGCTGCAGGACAGACCCCCCCATGGGTCTAAAGGTAAGGCACTTTGCTGGGAGGATGGGGGCCACCTGGGTAAGGCCCCACCTTGGCCCGCCACACCTGGCTCAGGCGACCTGTCAGCCTCCAGTAGCTGGGCTCAGGTCACTGACAGCCCCTGCAACACTGTCTCCCTTAGAGCTGCGACCCCATTTGTGGGAGGGCAGGTCCCAGTGGCCCAGGCCTGTAGGAGACAGCTCTCCCTGACTGGTGACGGGGGGGGGGGGGGGGGGGGGGCAGGTCCCTTTCTCCCCTGGGGCTTCAGCTGTCTCATCTGTAAAATGGAGATCACAATCTAACTCCCAAGGGCAGGAACAGGCTGCAGGAATGAAACCAGCAGT